AGCTCTGGTGGAGGCTGGATGCCACAGCTAGGTCTCCCGACCCTCCGATCTCCCCTGCCTCCTGCCTGGGCCCTGACTGGAGTAGGCAGAATCGTGGCCAGCACTCCCCGCCCCTTCCCGCCCTCTCTGGCCAGGACCTCAGCAAAAGCTGGCCCCTGCTTTGGCAGATCACAGATTTCTTTATACAGGGAGGAGAATTTTGGTGGCCTCCCCTGGCCAGCCCCATAGTCCTCTTTGAAATCTGGATTTCCCAAACCCTGGTGCTTCTAGCCTAGCTTCTCCGAAATAGCATAGATTCCTGAGAGAGAGGCAAGGAACTGTATGAGATTTTCACATCCCTCCTCCCTGCATCAATGAGAAGCAAGGTTTCAAGTGAGAAGGCAAGCCCCAGATCTAGTAAATGCAAGATCAATTATTCAGTTCACTGGAGCTTTGTGTCTGATGATACACAAGATTAGCATCCTTTCCGGTGCTGTCTCCTCTGCAAACAGATGCTTAAACTCATGCAAACCAGTTGTTTTACTGCAAACCAGAGAGCATCATTGCTGTTTGACTTGCTGGCTCTTTAAGGCGTTGTTTGTTTTCTTGCATGTTCTGAGATGAGATCTCACTCTTTGTAGCTCTAGTTGGTCAGGAACTCACTATGTAGCCAGGGCTAGCCTCCGACTGTAGCAGTCCTGTTGCTGCAGTCTCCAGAGTGATCACTGAGATTACAAATGTGCTGTCATGTTCATTCGTATGTGTGTGTCTGTGTGTATATTCGAGTGCATGTCTGTGCTTGAAATGTACGTGTGTTTATTCTTGCATTCGTGTGTGCATGTGTGTTTGCATGTGTGTTCCAGATATCTACTTTTGAATATTGATGCACAGCCAACTTACTGGAATGAAACAATGGTTCTAGATGTGCAGCTCAGTGGTTAACTGCTTATCTGATACATATAAGACCCTGAGTGCAATCTCCAGCTGCAAAAACTCAAACTAAAAACTCTGAGGTTGAGGCCCCATGAGAATCCACCCTCTGTTGTTAGCACATCCATTGTCATCATCCTCAAAGAAATAGGCAACTTAAAAAAAAATGCTGAGAGTGGGAGTAATAGCCTTCAGGAAAGAGCACAAAATTCGTTATCCAATACCGAATGATCAGCCCTGAAATCACATACATAAGTAACATATGGTCTGAACAGTTTTACTTAAATAATTAGGAATATTTATACATACATATATATGTATATATAGCAACAATTAAAAAAATACAGGCCATGGATTTGAGAGTGAGTGAGTGGGGGGAGCATGGGAAGGAAGGCTTGGAGAAGAAGATGGAGGTAAACAACATGATTGTATTTTAATTTTAAAAAATGTTTTTAAAAATATAGAAACCCATTTCTGCATGTTCATTATCCACAGAGTTCAGACATGCTGTCAAAATTGTTTGCTGCTGCATGTGAGGTCACTCTCACTTTCACCTGTGACTGATCCAATCTGGAGGATCCATGCTGGGTTCATGCAGGTGTCCATGCAATTTGACATCCAATGGCTACTAAGTGGCTAACAGCCTGGTTTTAGTTGGGCTTTCCTTTTGTGTAAGTCTTAAGACATCTTCAAATAGTTCTTGTCATAGGATGGCCACCATCCAACATGGTAGCCTTGGACTACAAGAAACTAGAGTAGACATTGTCAACTCCATCGAAGCCTGGCCTGAAATTGTTTTTGTTTATACACACACACACACACACACACACACACACACACACACACACACACACATTCCTTTTTTATTTAAATTAGAAACGAGCTTCATTTATATGTCAATTCCAGTTCCCTCACCCTCTCCTCCTCCCCTGCCCCCCACCAACTACCTATCCCATCCCCTTTCTGCTCCCTAGGGAGGGTGAGGCCTTCCATGGGGGATCTTCAAAG